GACCAGGGCCGTCACGACTCTTTCAGACAGGCGGCCCGGAAGCATCGCACTACGGTAGGCCGCATAGGCCGCTAGGGTGAGTTACTTTGTTGCTGTCAGAGTGATCCGAGCTTCTCAAGCACGACGTCGGGTTGCCTGAATTGTGGGGGTTCTCACGACATGGATTCTCCTACTTGGGGTTTCAATTACTCCCACGGAGCCCCTTTGGATCAGGTGGCAGGCGAGCCTGGTGGTGGTGTCGCAGCTGTGGGAAGGTCGCCTGGCATCCGAGTCCCGGCTGAGTTCCTGGAGACGAGCGACGGTTCTTGAGACTTCCGGAGGGACCCGCGTGGCTTCCAGGGTGTCTATGTTGCGAAGCTTCAGCTTTTTTCCAAATCGCTGACCCTTGCTTTGGGGGCCTTGCGTACAGATCCTTGTTTTGTGGCATTGATGTGAGGCTTTGTTTTCCTCCTGCGGCTAGTGAAGCCCATAAGCCCATCAGCATGCTCAGAGTTTAGGACGAGGGCCTGGCGCGATCTCTTCTGGCTTCGTGTCGTGGAGGCTCCGGTGAGCGATGTGAGCGGTGGTTCACAGAACGTGAAGTGCTTTGCAATTCTAATCGGGCCAAAACTACATGCTCCCACGTTTCTATGGGGCAGTGCAGGCTTTGAGGAACGTAGGACCAGGACCTACAAGCGCCGCCATGGCACTCATTTCACGGGCCGCGCAAGCCCCGCTTGCTTGCGCTGGCGTGGTCCTTGGTGTGCCTGCAGACAGTGCCGCCGTTGCGGCTGACGACAATAAAGACAAGGCTGCTCGGCTGGCGAAGCAGGATGACAAGAGCTGTCCCAGCGCAGACAGCCGACCCGGTCGAAGATGCTATTGGCATCTTCGACCGGGTCAGCTGTCGCGAGCAGCGGCAGAAGACAATTCAGGAGAACGAGGAGGATTTGGCTGCAGCCCGACGAGCGCGAGAACTGGGACTAGACGACCAGAAAACTTTGCCAAAGAACTAGACAAACTGGTTACAGCCCCGCGGAGGCAGCGGCTACACGAGTTTCAAGCCGACAGCAGCGGAAAGGCGACGCGAAACTTGAGAAGGCCACGAAAGACATGGCTTGGATAGAAAAACAAGTGGCGGCGTCACGATCTCGAGGGCCAATCTGTGTGAACAGGTGTATGGTCTGATTTGTTTCTGCACGACCAAATCGTTGACTTTCAAAACCGTACTTGGGGAAAGAGACTGCGACCAGATGTGTTTCGATGATTGGAAAGATCCCGCCAACGTGACAGGTGTTGGCACGCCGCATGAGCTGCTGGATTGTTTGGATAATTATACTTGAATCAGAGACGCTGACCGTGGTCAGCTCTATGAATACCTTTGCCGTCTTCCTTCCGAGCAGGCGAATGGTATGGTGCTTGACAATTGGGCTGCATTCCGTGTGTTATCCCTGCTAGGGCCAGATGAAACCTGCTCGCGATGCTGGTGGCGTGCCCGCTGGGCCTCCCGAAGAGGTGGTTCATGTGCTGCAAATGTCTCGGTGCTACTTTAAGTATGATGCCATCAATGGAGCTTCATTGATGGGATCATATTTGCAGTAACAGCGTGGATGCCGAGACAAGCCGGTTCTGTTTGGCATGCATCTTGACGGACGGCCAGCCACAACAACCTTCGTCAAGGCTGTGCAGCAGCCATTAGTGTCTCCCCTCACACGCTCAAGGACCTTTGCATGCAGTGCGGGATGCCTTGAAGTTGCTGGATGTGTTCGCAAACCTCGCGAAAAAAAACTGTAGACTTTGCCCGCGCTTTGCCTAGATGCAGGGAGTGCGAATGGACCCTGTAACCTCACAACCACCATTTCCTCACACAGTACCTCAACCACGGCCTTAAAGCGAGAGTGGAGTTCGTGTCGTATGGGGGGAATCCAACTGTCAAGCTTTCTGAACATGTCCGTATTCCCCAATTCAACCGGGTGTTTGTTTTCTCGCGTGACACGAGACTGCCATGAAAGACAGGGCTCCCTCAGACCACAAGCCAATGAAGCTAGATTTTGCAGTAGGCGAGACGACTTGACCACGTAGATGTGTCTCCCAGGGCATCCCGCCCTCATAATATGTTGTGGGGGTGCAACCAACTTTGTTGTCCCCCCGCTTCGCTTCCCAACCGTCGTTTGTTGCTTTGCTGGCCCTTCTGGATGTCCCGGGTGAGGAAGCCGCACGTTGTATTCTGTCAAAGCCTTGTCTCACCAAGCCTCGCCTGGATTGTCCGAGTGTGAGTGCCGAAAGCTTTTCAAAGCTTTTCCCAAGACAAAGAAGCTAGAAAAAAACCCAAGTCCCCCCTGTGCAGGCTCTGAGCTGGTCCTGGGCCTCCTGCGGGGCTTCCAAGCGCTCCGAGTGGCCTCCGCGGAGGCCCTGGCTGTCGAGAAGTTGGAGGGGTGCTTTCAAGTGGTTTTTTGGGGGGCCTTCCTGAGGCTGATCACGGTTAGATGACGGGTTTCGGAGTGGTTTTTGAAGGGTGCGGCACATCTTTAATTGGCGTTTGTTCTGCCCAAGCCGCTGCAATCAATGGATCTCGTCTTTCCAGGCTCCTGTGAGGCCTGGCATCACCAAAGCTCCGAAGCTTACTGTGTGCCCAGATTCTATCAGACTCAGAGGTTTGAAGCCTTGCGTGCAATCCCCCACTCCGCCACGGAAAGCCTATTGTCTTCATCAGGGAGTGCTTGATTATCCTGCAAAGCCCTCTTTGGGGGGAGGTTCTCGGCGCCGCTGTTCAGAGCTTGGCGCGGCAGGAGCGATGGCGGTGAGCTTTCTGTCAGGGGTCGGATGTCGAGGTTGATCATTAAGAGGCTGACGTCCTCAGGAGCTGTGGTGGACGTTTTGGGTTTCAAGGCCTGGTAGGCTGAAAGGTAGAATCGGGATGAATCCAACAAGCTTCCGATGTCTAGTAAGGCAGCCCAAGGCCATTCTGTCTGTCCGCCGGCGTGTCTCACCCAAGACCCGAGATGTGGGCTGCAAGAGACAAACCCCCCGCCCCCCCGGAGCCGTAACTCCCAAAACCGAGCCTCGCCTCTCCTTCTCAGAGCCTTCTGCCAGGCGCGGTGGCAGCTGGCCGCAAAGCTCGCGGAGTGCCTGCACGGGCCGTGCTCTGCCGCAAAAAAAATCAAAGTCCAGAGCAGAGCAGAGTTTGGGGCCAAGCTTCCTACAAGGAGAGACCTCACCCATCGTGGATTTAACCTGCACTTCACGGGCTGAGTCTTGGGGGTCAGATTAATTTGGGAATTCTGCGACTTGCAGAGTCGGAGGCCTCGGAGAGTCGGAGGCCTCGGAGTGAGACCTTCGTTTTTCCATGCAGGAAATGCGTCGTTTCGAGTTGTCGGCATTTTTGCTGGGTGAGCTCAGGCCTTCAGGCTTGCAGGGTCTGTGTAGCTGGTGGGTGTTGAATATCAGTCAGATGCTTCAGGAGCTCGGGCATGGGGCTTTGGCCTTGGGCCTTGATGGTGCTAGAAGCCTCGCGGTATTGGTTGAAACCGTGATTGTCGGTATAGGACCTGCATGTGCGTAAACCCCTGCCGCGTTTGACATCTTCTTGAGGCCGATGCTGGCAGGCTTCAGCAGCCTCATCTTGATTCGAGGGGAGGATGCGGCCGATGTGCTCTGGCTTTGGATACAGGTGCCCTGTGGCTCAAGGCCGGTACTTACGTGCCGAACATGTCGTGTTAACTTCCAAGCTGTGAACATTACCGATATTGTCGACCAACTCTTTTTTGCTCTTCACAGGTCACACAACTGGCGCTTTTGGAAGAAGCACCTGCACACCTTTTCTCTGCCATGGATGTTGCGATGGCTTTCATGTAGGAGTGGACTATCATGTGTTCGTGTGTGGCTGACGGTCAGCAACTGGCTAATGGTAAGAGCTCTTGCCAGAGCATGAGGGATGACGGCGATGCTGCCAACAGCAGATAAGACATAGTAAATGATGAAACCGCTAGACGGTGAGCCGTGTTTCTGCGCAAAGGTCGACTGGGCCCTCTCTTGGCTGCCGGCCCTTCGACAGCGGCGGGCGATGCCGGACGAGCGGGCCTTTGCACCGCGGCGCGAGCAAGGGATTCGTTAGTCAGAGTGGTGAGGTGCCCCCCGACCCTTTCAGTCTTGGTCTGCAGAACGGTGAAATGCTTCAGGACAGCGGTAGAATCAGAGCACCTTCACAGGTGCTGGAGAAGCGCTGGGCTGTCGAGTTCGGATTTGTCGGGAGGCTTCCAGCATTGTGCCACGTCCAGAATCCGAGGTGGCTGCCTTGTCAGTCTGTGGGCGTGGTGGCCAGTGGTGGAGGGCCCTTGGACTTTTGTGCTTCGGCTGGGCAAACGATGGTTCGTTCCCGCCGTTCCCGTCCACAAACAACATGAAGTACGACCTCCGTCCTAACCCGGTTTTTGGGCTCTGCGCGTGTGACCAGGGGCTTCCGTTTTTGATATCGGAAGTTCTCTCAGAAACTTGTTTGGTGCTCTTCCTCACTGTTGGCCTTTGGTAGAGGGTGAGTCTTACAGTCTAATTACCCGTCCAAGTTAGCCGCAGGTCGGGCCCCCCAAAAATTCCTGGACCGACAGGGCTCCCCTAAGATCATCCCGAGACCCACGAGAGTCCCCAAGCCCGCAGCCCCCTGAGCTCTGAGAACCAAGGCAGGACATGGCAGAGCTACGTGTGCCCGCGGGCAGGCCTGGGAGGGTTTGTCTGCATCTTGCAGGTCGAGACGGGAGTTGGGCTGTTGCGGGCTGTTGCATGTGCATTGTTCCGAAGATTCTCCTAGCTCGCTTCGTTTTGGTGAGCATTCGCCGGTTGGGACAAAGTTTGGGCGCCGAGGTTTGCTACCGCTGCTTCGCTCGGGGCCATGGAAAGTGCCCGGCGCTGGCGCAGTTCGCTGTCCTTGCTTCGAGGGGTGGTGCGGAAGGCCAGGAGGGCGACCACACCAGAAACCGTAAAACGTTGAAAAACACAAGCTCTACGACGGAACAGCCGCGAGCCAGGACGGGACGGCTCTCTCTGTGCCGGCTGTGAATGCTGCAGCAGCCGCGTGCGAGAAGGCTTTGGGATCTCTTTATGTTACAGTTCTGCCGGCTCGCGGCCTTCCAGGGTAAACGTCCCGATGCCAGGGTTGGCGCTGGGAGGAGGCCGCCTCGCTTCTTGGATGGATGAGAGCCGCGGGCCGGGAGCCCGATCTCATCAGCTGCAACAGAGACTCGGACTCGAAGGGTCGAACCAACAGAAAGTGCCGAAAAAGGGACACACCGGATTGACGGTCTGACCCCGAGACATCTCACAAACAAGAAATCTTTCCTCCAGGCCTCCGGAGTGCCTGCGCGGCGGCGGCACTCTGGCAACGCGCCCTAGCGCCGGGCGCACGGGACGTTGCGGCTCGGGTGAACAACGGTTTCCGGATGAGAGAGCGAAGCAGAAAGCGATTCGGCTTAGTTCCGGACTGGGGTGCTGAGGAGGGTTTTTCAGGACAGAAGAGTGCAGGCGTATCTCGGGCTCCAACATGCTCCAACATCAACGACACGCAAAACTCTATCTGAAAGGCTCAGCATGCAACCAGGGAGTCGGTCAAGTTCAGAAGAAACGAAGAGGAAAGCGGTTGCACATGTCAACCGAAGGTGTCCTTCACGACCATGGTGGACGCCCTGCCAGCTGCGCACTGGCAGGGTGCGGTGCGGCTGTGTGCGGCCTCTTGACACGCAAAGCTCAGGCTCCACAGAGGAGGAGGCTTCCTGTCGAGAGAGAAGTAGAGAGACGTCGTCCTGGTCCTCGTCGTCCTCGTCCTCATCGTCCTCCTCCCCCTCAGTCACAGTAGAGGCAGCTGTTTCTTTTCCGAGTCGGATTTTGAAGCGCTTGTTCGAAGGTCCTGAAGGTCCAAAGCTGAGAGCAGTTTACAGAGGAGCCTGTTGGTGGACTGGCGTCAGTTCGAAGCAAAGACACCCGTGCTCCCCTCAGACCTCAAGCCCAGGACATGGCAGAGCAGGCCGTGCAGCCGAACGAGCTTTTCCTGGGAGCTTTCGGGGGCTTCCCGACTTCCTGGCCTTTGGCCTTGCAGTTGCTGGAGGGGCGGGCACTGTCCCTGGTGGTGCTGGTGAAGGTGGGTGTGTTTTCGATAAAAGTCGTTTTTTGTCGTTAGACTCCGTTAGCTTCGTTGTGCGGCGGAAACGTGGGGCCCACGTTTGCAGCCCCAGGTGCTGAATGCTGCCGGCCAGACACAGGTGGCTTTCCGGGACCAGACATCCCAGCTGCTGCAGAACCTGCTTCGGCACAATTTCGACGGGCATGACTTTAGCCAGCCGTTGGCTGCTGCCGAGGCGCTGATGGCCTTTACCGGAGCTCTTCAGCCGGAAGTGCTGGCTTCTCTGCAGTCCCAGATTTATTGGCCAGCTCTGCTTCAGCTGCGCGGGCTGACGCTCCGGCCGTCGAGGGGAGGCGACGGTGCGTTCATCTCGGACAGAGTCCTGGAGCGTCGCTTCAACCTTGGGCCCTTGACCTCTGCGGCGATGGAGCAGCTGGGTTTGGAGCACACCGCTCCCGCTCGTTGGTCTGCTGTGGCCCGTCGCTCCTGTCGCCAAGGCGAACACGACGAGGGCGAGGGCGAGGGTGGCCTGAACGGCTTGAAGCCGGAGCCGTCTGCGCAGGCCGTGCTGGCTTGGAGCTCCTTCGCGCTGGGAAGCGCGCTACGCCGCCGGGGAGTTGTGACGAAGCCCGGGCCGGGAGCCTCGTTCTTTGGAACCTTTGGACCTGACCGGGAGGATTTGAGACGCTTGAAGCCCGTTTTTGCTGATCATGATCGGTCTGGCCATGCTGAGCGGATAGCCTTGTTGACTGTGTTGACTTCCTTGAAACTGCGCCCCGGTGCTTCCTAGGAAGACTGTGGGCGCATCTAGCATGCATGGGTGAAAAAAAGCCGATCCGTTGCGGTGCTCGGTAATCGGAATCCTCGGAGCCGGGATCTCTTTTTTTTGTCCTCGGCGTGCTGGTAGCTTTGCTTCAGGTCTTGGACACATCCGCAGGCCGCCCTGTCAGAGACCAAGCTGTATGTAGAGCTTTTCAGCAGGGGTGGCTTGACATTCAGATCCGTGTGTGTTGATTGGCTTGGACCGGGTGTTGGAATCTTTTGTTTCGAGGTACAAGGACATCGTCGACGAAGTCTCGTGGGCATCTGAGCTGCGGAAAATTGGACCGATAACCCCTCAGCTTCACCAGCAGTCAGATAGCTTCGAGGTCATGGCCTGCGGATGCAGCCGCAGAGGATGTCTACAGGTGCCGCACTTCTGAGATCGGGCTGTTCTGGAATTCAGAGGGGGCTCGATTGTCTTGACTTGAGAGCTTCCCAACAGTGCCATGCAGCCCCGGATCTCAAAGCGCCATGCCCAGGCGGAGCTGGAGCTACCTCCAGAGGGCCCAGGCGTCAGCGGCGCAGGCTGCCTGTGTATGACGATAAACCTAGGAAGTGTGCATCTGTACAATGGTTCCATTGTTTCGTCTGTAGATAGCCTTTCTATTCGATCTCTGCCCTCTGCCACTCTCTGTTGTGGTCCTTTCTCACGGATGCAATATATGCACCAAAACAGCATCGTCACAACGCTATTGCCTCGCCTCGACGCCTTGCAAACTGGTGTGCAGGCGCTGTCACAGTGGAGCGGGCCGCATTGCATTGAAGCAGGTGTCCGATGTCAGTCCAGATTGAGGTTTGATGGCTTTGCCTAGACCAGGGTGAGCGCCGAAACCCTAAACCCGTTCTTGTATTGTTTGTGGCTGAGCTGGCCTCGGGTTGCAACGTGCTCGATGTGATTCTGTACTTATGTGCGGGCACACCCGAACCTTTCCAAGCCGGGTACGGTTTTGGTTAGACATTTCTCAATGAAGTGGGGCGTGAGTGTATTTTCACAGCGAGCGCAAGAGGCTGCTCCTGGTCCCTGCATCGAACACAGGGACTCAAGATGACTCAAGCTGGCCAGGGCGGCGGCTGGACCGCGCCGTGTCCGGCCGACTTGTTTTCGCTTCAAGGTTTGAGAACACAGGGTATAGAGAAGTGTCGAGGGCTGTGTGGGTTGGATCCACGAACGACGTTTCTGTGCAAGTTCTTTTAGTTTTCTGCTAGGCAGAGCCTGGACGACCTGGACAGGGTGCTTGCAGTTGGGGTGCTGCAAATTTTACTTTGTTGCTGTGGAGTCGCAGGAGCTCAGGCCACCAGCACGGTAAGACTACCCAGGATTCCACGGTTTTCCAAACATTTCGCAGGACCGCTTCTTCTTCAATATGACTACCGGTGTCGGGACCTCGGGAAGATATTGCCACCACGTAATGGCATGGTTTCCTGCATAATTAGCAAAGAATGCCGGGAAGCGCCGCATCAGCAGAGAGAAGTCCATTGCAATTACACGGCTTTTTCTTTCGATCGGTTCGCCTTTTCGCTGCATTTGCCCCTGAGAGACAAGCGAGGAGTACAGTCGCGCGGATCCCAGGGATGCCTTGGAGCCGATGCCCAAGCCCGGATGCAACGAGCACTGTGGAGGTTTAGGAAGTTCCCCTCTCGCTTGGGAAAGGTTTGATCTGCTCCAGTAGCACATGCTGCTGTCTTACTGCATCCACTACGCTCGGCATGGCGCCCGGATGGCCCTAGGACCGTGGGACCCCGTTCGTTCAAGGCCACAAGCTCCCACCAGGTGATGCTCACCACCAAGTAGTGAAGATACTGACAGCCATGGCGTGGTGTTGTTGGCGGCAGCCATTCTGCTTACAATCTTCAGCTTCCAACTGAATGTAGGAGAGAAGCGTTTATTTCTGTGGGACCACAGCCACAGCTGCAATGACCGCGAGGCCTTCGTCAGCCCAAAGCACAAATTACACAGAAGACCCTCATCGCCATGGAGCTCCTTCGTTGTGTGGCAGAGATCTGCTGCGGAGAGAGTCCCCAAAAGCCCAGGCCCCTGGTGCAGCCAGGGCCCGGGGTCACCGGGGCACCAGCCCCGCCCAGCCAGGTGGCCTTGACTGGTCGTAGGAGGAGTCTGCTGGTCGGCAGCTAGGCTCGGCTTGGAGGCTTTAGACCGTTGCTTCAGGTCATGATTAGGACGGAGGGAAAGAGACAAAGAGGGACCTGAGATGTAGGGCTGCCCGCAACCCTCCAAGCCTGCACGCTCAAAATGATGTTGCCTGCCCCTATTTGTAAGACAGGAGGAGGAAAGAAGCGAAGCGTGTCAGAGGAACTACGAAGAATGAGACGAGTAAGAACAACAGGAAGAAGGGTATTGATAAGACAAAGATTATTGTTAGTAGTAGCAATGGTAGTAACAATATCATCAATGACAGCAGCAACAACTATTACAATAAACATGATAAATATGATAAGACTGGTCAGACGAACAAGGAGAAGAATGAGAAGAACCAGAGAGGCATTTTACCGGAGCCAAGGTATCAATTACTTTGGCACCCAGAACGAGCTGCATGGATGTGTCTCTGATGTCCAGCGCATGCTGCCCCTTTTGGACAAGCTCGGGTTTCCCAGTGATGCAGAGAGCCGGCGTGTGCTGGTTGATGCGCCAGACTGGCCGCAGCACCTTCACCCGACCTTGGCCAACATGAGGCAGGGGATAGCCTGGCTGACTTCAGATGCCCAGCCAGGGGATTCCTTGCTGTTCCACTACTCTGGCCACGGGGGGCGCATGCCCCGATCGGACGGGCGCAGCGAGTGGCACGAAACACTTTGCCCAGTGGACATGGATGCAGAGGGCATGCTCTTGGACTCCGAGCTCTTCGAGACGCTGGTGCGGCCCCTGCCGAGTGGCTGCAGACTCACGTGTATCCTCGACAGCTGCCACAGCGATGGTGTACTGGACCTGCCCTTTATCTTTGTGGGCACTCAAGAAAACTTAGCCTCTGCTTTGGCTGGCGAAGCTGCGCAGATGGTGATGTCCAAGAACTGGCTTCAGGACTGGCAGGCTTGGCAGGAGAGTGACGATCCGGCCATGTTGCTCTCGGATGCGGCCTCCATGGGAATGGACCTCTGGAGCCTTTGGGGCAAATATAGTGAGACCCGGGAGGCCAACGAGCAGGGCTTTCGCACCGATGAGGCCGAGAATGAGGGCGTGGCTGTCGCCCCTCGGTACAGAGTGCAGAGTGGAGACTTGTTTCGATTCATTCGGGGCATCAGAGGGATGAGGTGTTACAGTGGCCCGAAAACCCCAGCCTTGAGAAGCATGCCGACATTCCGTTTCGGATCGGCTCTTGCAGCGTTTCATAAGCTGTTTTAAAAACTCTGGCAAGATGCCCCTGTCCCCCACATGGAAAACCAAGGGCGAGGTGGTCGCCTTCACAGGTTGCGCCTCCGAGCAGACGAGTGCCGACGTCGGAGATGTGGGAGCTCAGTTCCAGCCTTCCGCCAAATTTACATTCCAACACTACCAAGAAAAAACACTAGGAAATGGTAAAGACGGTCATAACCTTTTTGATGAATCCTCGAGCGATCTTCGTAGTGCCCTGGCGGAGGCTTAGCGAAAGGGGCGAAGCTAGAGGCATGGATCCCAAATAGGCCCTGCATCCTCAGGCCCCTTTGATGCTTCCCAATGAGGCTTCAGCCCACCCTGGGTGCGGCAAACGCAGGTGGGGAGCAGGGCTCTCCGGGGCTCCCGTGCTCTCAGGGTCAGATGATTGATGGCAGCCGAAGCAGATATAAGTAGTGCTGAGGCTTTAGCTCTTGTGGGTTCCTTGTCGCCAGAACCATGGCCTAAACCCGAGAAGCACTGAACCTAGCGGCTACCTTCTTTGCTGGACCGCTTCAGTTGCGTTTTGCATGGCATCTTGGCCTTCTTGAAGAGGAGGACACTTGCTGCTTGAGGGCGCCGGCAGGGCTGGAGGCTGGGATCTCCCCCCTCGACGATAAGCACTACCATTGTCAATATCGCTTCCGTCATCACCGGGAAATCAGACTTCGTTGTGCCAAACAATAACATCCTGGTGCGTCATGAGATGTCCAGGTCAGCACTCTCATCACCGGTCTTGTTGTCTCTTGTTGTTCTTGCGCTGGAGGTGCGCTGACCTCGGCGTTCATTGAGGCGATGCAAACTCAGGGCGAGGAGACGACCCCTGGCCGAAGAAGGGTTGGTCGGGCTTGGAACTGGGAGGTCAAGTTAAGGGGGATTTAGATTCTCGTGTAAAGCGCCAATGTTGCAGCTGCATGCCGAGCAGAGACCATCCTGTTTGTACCTCAGATCTTGATCGTACTAGCGGAGTGCTGCTTAGACGTGGCGACGGACATAGGCCTGAAAGGCTGCAAACATGACTGCGGCGTCCTAGAATCGAAGATTGTAACTGGAACCCTGCGTTTGTTAGTGCGCGGACGGTGGATCAACTTGTGGATATCGCATGTTGCACGTGTCGGTGTTCGTGCCTCGGCCTCACTTCGAAGACCCATCATCGTGAGATCATCGAGCGGCACATCTGTGCACAATGTAAGTGCGCAGATAGCCCAGCAGGGGAATATAACAAGAAAGCAGAGCATGTTGCAATTCAGTCGGGTAAAAAAGGTACGTGCAGCTCTTGGAGCATCTGCGGCAGCGGCTGGACAGCGCAGGACGGACTGCGGGGGGAAGCAAACCCTGTAAAGGTCCACGAGAAGGCTATTGAAGAAAGAGCCGGCTTTTCTTCCTCGAATTTCTCCCCGAGATACGCCTGCTCGGAATTCAGCTCCGAAGCCGGCAACGAACCAAGGCTCTGTTTTTTGTTCTCCTCCTTCTTTGCTTTGCCTGCTGAAGGATTCAGCCAAGTTCCACAGCTGGCGTCCAGTTTAGTCCTGGACCTGAACACGCCGTTCTCAGTGGACAAGATCACACCCCCGCCTCAGCCTGGGCAGATGCCATCGAGACTG